GTTTGTCGGGGCAGGTCATTTGGATGGCGACTGCTTCTATATTTGTTCGAAGGTGGATTTCGTTAGAATTGATTTCACTTTTAACGTATATGGCGACCCCTCCGCTGGCATGACCGAAGACCGCACGGTTTTTAGCGAAACATTGGTAATTTTTAAGTGTTCCAGTGGTATTATTTTTAAAATTGGTTTCTTGAATGCAAAGGGCAATGGGATCATAGTTTTTAATCAGTAATTGGATTCTTTCTAGACGGCCATAGAAACCATTAGTATTCCACTGAAGGATATTATTCATATTATATTATTGCTAGTGAAAGGTTATAAAGAGCGACTTGCACGTTAGATTAATTTATGAAGTGTCAGAGTCAGAATCAGATGTCCAGTTCGTATGGGTATTGATGGTTGGTTGTATGCCTAGTTTGTTACATAGTCTATAAATTCTGTTTTTTATACTTCGTTCTTTTAGTAGAGGATAAATTGTGGTCAACATTAGTGTTAATCCAGGCATGTCTTCTGTATAGTCGAGAGCGATTTGAATTGGATTTGGTGCCCCGAAAGCGTTTTCAAGGAAGCTTTTTAGTTGGTGGTAGTTGAGGATGAAATTATTTTGGGGATTTTCAATTTTGCCTTTTGCTGGTTCAAGCATTTCTTCTAGATTCTTAGGTAACGGGACGGGTAACATGGGGCATATCAGTCTTTTCTTGTTATTAGTTGAGTTTTTTATTCTGGTGGCAGAGGGCAGTATAGATGTTTTGAATTTCGTTTCATCGCGTTCCATTGGCTCAGGCGGAGTTTCTGATGAAGTTGTTGAAAGTGGCCTTTTGACACCAGTTATAATATTTCTTCCCTTCGCTGACTCGATTTCCATTCCAATTTCTTTATTAGCTATTGGTTCCGCACTTTGGGTAGGTAAACATGGGGTTGTGATTGTTTCTATCGGTTCAGTTTCCAAGGTAGCTTCTTCGTTGGTTAATGGATACAGAGTTTGAATGGGTGTGTGAGCCGACAAGGTTTGGTTGATGATTGTAACGGTGTCTTTTGTTGTGTTACTGTCGCTAGTTTCAGGGTTATTGGGACATTGCCTAGCAACATGTCCCTCTTGTTTACATATGAAGCAGTTTAGTTTGTCAGTGGTAGAAAAAATTCGATACCCTGTGTCGTCAAAAGTGATCGTGAATGAGTCGGGTATCTTTTTGGAGTCTTCCGGATTGATGTATACCTGCCTTCTGAAACTCAAGATATGGGAATACTCGGCATCTGTTATTCCTGCTTTTAAAGGTGTTATTTTGGAGCAGATTCGTACATTATTTTTTTTAAAAACATCTTCGATCGACTTGTTCGGTATTAATGGTGAGACATTTGATAAGATTATACGTTCCGCTGGGGTTATCATGGGTCTAATGTCTATTTTAGTGTTATTGATTGTCAAAGAATTGTGGTTATCCATGAGGCTGGAAACTGTTTCTTTTTTTTCTAGGTAAATGTAAATTCTACCGTTGGAGATTCTAGATATGTATCTTATTGCTTTCGGGCCTATTATTTTTCCTACTGCACAGGCATAATCTTTAATAGTTATACCGTCCACTGCTGTGAGAATTATCGCTTGATCTTTAGTAGGAAAGGATTCTGATTTAATGGCGTTCGCGTATGATTTTGTTGATTCAGTAGTGTTGTTACTGGCCTGTAATTTTCCGTTGGTGTTGGTGAAATACGAGCCCCTTTACTCAGATGCTTCGTTTCTTTGACATTCCTTTGCTGGCTGCATTTTTGTTGAAGTGTGGTGTGTTCACAGGGGTTCGGGTATGACACTTACACTCGTGGCGTAGCCGCGAGCAGCACTACACTATTAGATTCACCCGTTACAATTGGCACACGTAAGCGAAACCGTAAACACGTCTGAACACATCGACGGTAGGACCGCGAATGACCGTTTTAATGTTGTTTTGTAGTAAATAGCTTTTTACTATTTTATTTGGCAGCTGGCGTTATCGTCTTCAAAGATGAAATCTGTAGAATCTCCAAACATGTCTTCTATACTTGGAATTAAAAAATATTCAAAAATAGGAATGTATCTTTCTTCATTAACATTCTGATGGAGAATGCACAATTTTCCCACGCCTCTCGCAGACATACAGGTCCATATCATATATGATTGTGGATACCTTGCTTCATTAAACTTTTTATTTGCTCTTCTCCAAACAAATGTTCCTGTGTTATCTCCCGTTCCAAGGTATACACGTGACTCATCACTGAATATTACTTTGCACCAGTCGTCCACTGTCCAATTTGCACGTTCCTTGCGCCATCGTAAGCGATTTTCCCTATGTGCCTTTGCGAGCAAGGGTTTTGTCTTAACTTTTCGAAATTGTGAAACCCATTTAATCTGTTTTCAACTGCAAAATCAGAGACATTTGGATCCCATTGTTCATTTAATTGTGTTGAGGTGGCTGTTACGACGAGAAATAACAATTACGATTTATTCTGTGTTGCAGCGTAACAGTAAATTCATAAAGCCAGCGGATGTAGAGTCAGTCCGTTCAAACAATCAAGTTTTGCCTATAATCAAGTGCGATTAAGACGGCTATTTAATTATTAAATTCATTCAAATCTGCATGACCCTCCAAATCCAGCCGTTCCATGATTTTACTACCTGCAATAATATCGAAAACCAGTGCCAGATGTTTTATGGCGAGTCAGGTATCGCAAGAAACATCTGGGCACCAAGCGCTGACCTGGGCCCGTCGCCGCCTCGCGGAAAACCCCAGACGAGGGAAAATGATTAAAAATAACGGTTACATGCCGCCTCCCACCGCTCAACTTTGCCTCCAAACTGATTGGCCAGTATATTTGCAATATTTGATCAATCTAAGACCGATGCTGCCTCCCATGGCCTTGGGTACGCCCATGGCGAGGTTAGCTTCTTGGGCAACCTTGGCTCAGAGACCAGATCAAAATTGACTCTTAAACATCACTCAGCACTAGTATATTCAAGACTTTGTACATTTCGGCTATCCAACGTAGAATAAATTGTTATTGCTTGTTACAAGATTCTACTGATTGTGATTCAAGTTTTTACCTTCCATATCCCACAACTATTCACTCGTTATTAACGTTGACGTGTGAAGCTGAGCATATCAGGAAGTTTCTTTCACAAAATTTAAATTATTTTGCTCAAAACCTCAACAGTGGCTCTTCTCATATTCTTCATAATTTTACGTAGTCTTCTTACCATTAGAAACACTGTCCGTTTCATCGTATTTTCTTTTTAAATCACTAATGGTACTTTAACTACACCCAATTAATTCTACGACTTTTCTCAGTGCGTTTCCCACCTTGAGGAGCTCAATTATTCTTATTTTTATATCATTTTAATACAATTTACACGTTGGCATATTGTACACTTCTGTCTTACTTGTTCATTGAACGAAAGAAAAGCGTTTGTTTACATTTTTGTGGATTCGTCTTGCGTTTATACTTACCCTCCACGGTTCAAACATTCGTACAACTAATTATTTTAGTCGTGATCGGAAACTTTTTTCCATGTAACATTTTCTTTTCCATCTACTTTGTCTTTGAAGATAAATGAAAGTTTGTGTTATTTTGTGGCTAATTACTTCCTACAAAACTCCCTTCTATTTCTCATCAGTCCTAATTATATACAATAACATTTTATAATCATAAAACACGGCAGTTTTTCGTAAAATTTGTTTTAATATGTATGATAAGAAACTTTCTGCCAGGGGTTGTAAACCACCGAGCTTCGTTTATTTTCCGCAAACGCAACTATTTGTTTCCTAAATACACCCTACTTGGATGCACGATGTCCTAGTTTGGGAAATCTTCGAGAAGAAACTTCTCAAAATATTCTTTGGCTTGTCAGTGTCCCTAAAGCAAAACATACTTTTCACAGCGAATGCTTTCAAATTACTCGAAATTATTTTCAACGTCTCAGAGGCTGATCCTATATCCATAACAATCGAAGATAATTTGCAAATATTTTAGCGGGATCAATTGTTTCGACCAAATTTTTGCTGGTACAGAGTTTGTAAACAGAGCCATATTTTCAGTTTTCTGTTTCTCACGTAAACCGAAACTATAAATACAAGAAAATGAATACTTTTTTTTTAGAAAATTCCTCTTTCGTAATTATTTCTCAATTTTTCGCCCGCTTACATGTCGCTGATTCCCAAAGAGAACGTTCCGCAGCAAAACTTGTTCTCCCAATGCACGAAAACATAAAATTAAGTACACACATTTTCCTGCAATAATACTACGAAAGGAAAGTTTACGCTTCTCGTGCGTTAAAATTTTATATGTAGATCTTTGCCACGAGTCACTAAATAAAAATATTAACATAGTTCGAAATGTCTATTACCAGACAAAATTTGTTACTTCGTTTTCGCCTGTGCGTGGAAAGATCACGAAAGTTTTTCAACCTAGATACTAAAAACAGTCGTAAAGAAACGCTTCGCTCGCCCTATAAATGGAAAAAATTCCATGAGCGTAAATCTGAAAAACTTTCCCTTATACGCTATTTGTCGTTTGCACTTGCATTTATGTAAGAAAACCTCAAGTGCGCGTGAAATTTATGTACGTTGCTTTCAACGTCTTCCCCCTTTACGAGACATTGGCCAATGGCATGCTTTACCGCGTGCAAAAACTTTTTTCAACGATTCTATCCAACAAGAAAAGTACGGTGAAACGCGTTAACTTTATTAAAAAAAAATATTCATCGATCGTTGCAACGTTACCGTGAAATAAGTATTTCTAATAAACGCGTTTGCCAATGTTTGCCCAAACGCGTTTCATCTTTCGACGCGATCGTACCCGGCCGGAAAACTGTATTTTCCTGGAATACAAATTTCCAGCTAACCAGCAATATTACATCCGAGCCTTGGCGTTTCAATTTGGATGCAGATCAGGATTATATTTTGTAGGGACGAATTAGTAATGTCTGAACGGGCCAGCTGACGAAACCTCCTCGCAATCAAGCTGGAACTCACCTTGTAACTGCTGACCGCGTGCGCGCCATCGTAGATGTACAGATGATCGTTGCAATCCAGTTGCAGCTGGTCGAAACGTAGCATAAATCGCTGAAGGATACTGTGCGTTTGGAACGTGATCGTGCAGTCTAGATCCCTCTCGTTTTGCGATATTAGAACGGCCCCTTCTGTCTTTCTATAGAGATCCCCCATGAAGTACTTCTTGCATACGTCGCTCATCTGATCTGTAAACGGGAAAGAAACTGTCAGATAAGTTAAATGCGATTCGATGGTCTTTTTCTTTTTAACGTTTTAAACACTATCGATTTTTCGAATCATTGGCAACTGTGAAAATATTAACAATGGAATGGTATATTGCTTAATCGGACAACCACGACCCGACACGTTTGGAGTCATTTGGGTTTCAGATCGTTCTAACACATTTTGAGCATGTAAAAAAGTTTGTAAACATTGCGTGAAATACGACCAGGTATGGAGTTTAAGCATATAAAATTTGAATATTCAAGAAAGGTTAAGGGATCATTTTATTTGAAATTTAAGTTTGATGTGGTTTGGTCAGATTTTGAGTGCGTAAAACATTCACAGAAATACGATCAGATATGTATTTTAACCATATAAAATTCGAACTTTCAAGAAAGGTTGAAGATTGATTTTATTTAAAATTCATGTTTGACATCGTTTACACACATTTTAAATACGTAAAAAATTCTGTAAAAATTCACAGAAATACGATCAAATATGTAGTTTAAGCACATCAAATTCGAACGTTCAAGAAAGGTTGAAGAATGATTTTATTTGAAATTATCTTACTGTGATCAAATTCAGTATCCTACATGAAAAAATGTATCCAACGATGTACAGTAAAGGATGAAAAACGGTTTTAGGAATTTATAAAATGAAATAACATTTAAACAAGATCGATGATGGTTCTTTACTTATTTACTGCATTTGCAAGCATACCGTCTAGTAAGAAAACGATTATTCCCGCTCTAATGCTATCAACTGTATCGATAAAGAACAATTTTAACGATTTTTAAATTCAGCGAAGTGCACCAGACAACGGGGCCTAATGTCTGTCCCGGCTGTTGGCAAGCTAGGTCGAATTATCCAATCGATTGACGACCGATTGATTTGCGCATCGCCAGGATAATGGTTCAACTTCGATTTCGATGCACCTGCGATTAATTTCGGTCTACTGCATTCGATAAGACAAGAGGGATGAAAAAGTTCTGCCTGTGTGTAGTTCAAATACCCTGCTAGGTTCGTTTCTTTCACAAATAATAGATTTGCCTTAATTTTATTAATGATTACTATTAATATTATTAATTCTAATGGATTTATAAATGTAATAGAAATAATAAAATGCGCTTCTCTAAAAAATAATAGATACGCCTTAATTTTATTAATAATTACTATTAGTATTATTAATTATAATAAATTTATTTTAGTATAAATTATAAAATGATTTAACTAATGATAAACTGGTTGGAGAATTTGTTATTATTGACAGTATAATGGATAAATGCTTAATCATTTTATGAAACAATTTTTAAAAAAGCGAGTCTACACATTTTTATAGAAAACAGGTGAAATGTGAAACATGAACAGAAATTTGTCTTATCACTGAAGTATTGTAAAAATATATTTTAACGTTTCCCTTTCTTTTTCCCCCGTTTAAATCGTTTATCGAAACGAAATACGAGCACATTTGGAGAGATCTTTTGTGCAGATTACAAACATATATCATTCGTTTGCGTTTTCATTGTTGGTTCCGTTTACTGCTAGAATAGTCAGCGAGAAATTCAATATTTTCACCATTGTTAAAAACAAAAATACAATTCTACAATTAGAACGTGCACGTATATAAGTAATTGTTCGCTTCCAAAAGTAACGAGTCTGATTTAATTTTATCAACGTTGCTATAATTACGCTCGAAGACGATATTTTTTCGGTAAACAGTTTTAGCATTTACCAAAACAGTTAGAATTTAATTCTACCCGTGGGACTCGTAATTCCATTACTTTCCCGGCGCCCGGTAAAAGTTCGAAACACCCGATCCGATCGAAAAATGACCGATACCAAAGTGATTTTGGTTTCAAGTTCCAGAGCCCATCGCGGTGTAAGTTTTCCTCGTCGGTTCGAAAAGTTTCCACCGCATTCTGGCAACTTGTTTTTCCCTGTACCATCGAAACTCGATCGAAAGCAAATGTCTCGCGACGCTCGGGGAGCAAATTAATTCCTGAATTCGATAAAAGTTTGTCGCAGCCGTCTTCGTTTTCACCGGGTGAAAATCAGTGTGTCCCCTCGGCCGGCGGGGGTTTTCGTTTCGATCGAACGGACGCGAAAATAAAAACGCCCAAACATCGTGGAAGGGGGTAAAGCAAAGGGGAGGAGAGGTGGGGAAGAAACTTGATTGAAAAGTTTTCGCTGGTGTTGCTCGGGGCCATCGGGAGTGGAGGCGTGAGATAGTTTTCCGCGTGGCGTGGTTCCAGTTGCGAGAACCCTGCCCGAATGTGGGCCGTGAAACATTCTTCGAGAACTCAGGCAAGATTTTCGATAAAACTGTGCATCCTGTCGGAGGTCACGGAAAGAAGCATGCCTGACTTTCGTCGTTCCCCAGGCGGTTTCCAACATTTTGCAAATTGGGAAGAATCGGGGCAACGTGCCGCGAAACCGTTTAAAATTAGAGCGATCCGATCACATCACCACTTATTGGTTTAGATGGCTTTAGTTGAATTGTTACGTATTTGTATACATGGTGTACCAGCATCGGTGGTACAAGCGGGAAGGAGATGATTTTACATGAAAAAACAAATCGAAAATAAGAAATAAAATTTTTTCGTTTGAGGTTTCGTTGTCGAAAAAATCAACTGTGAATATTTACAGAATTTAAGTTAAACTAAGGCATGTAATTAAGTTATTAAACTAACTTAATTGATACACAAATCGTTGAAAATTGCTTATTCTGCTGTATACACAACTGTACTTTCTGAATTATATGTGTATGAACATACATTCTAATGTATTATCCGTGTTTAATTCTTCAAATACCAAATGAGATCATCCCATGTGCGTGAAATGTGATTGCAATGGACACGCGAGTACTTGCGACCTCGTGTTGGGGGAATGCACGGTAAATACTGTTGTATTAACACTAAACCTACCAGCACTTCATGTCTACCCATTCCTACCATAATCGGTCAAATGACTTTCTTTTTCTCTTTTACAAGGCAACGTACTTCTAATTTTTCCATTATATGTATACAAAAGTTGTGTTTTGAAGTTTATTCGTAAGATATCCTCCTCTTTTATGTCGCATAGTTTTCTTTTTTAAAGCACTGAATTCTAAGACCCTGTACAAAAATATTCAATACTTTTATTCTAAACGTGCATTAGCACTTTAATAGTATTAGTAAATTAGTAATTTTCATCGGATAGAAGATAAAACGCTCTTGAAAACAATTATTTACATAAAAATGGCATAGTAATTATGCAAACGTCCTGTATACAAATTTAAATTAATTTTCAATTAAATAAACAATTTATGATCCAGTTTTATCGCACACCAGTCGTATGATCAATAGGAAGTGCTGAAACTTCTTTGGGTATGTAGTGTCAAAGTAAATTTCAAAATAAACATAGAAGATAGCATAAATTATAGTAGTTGGTATAGTCATTGGATAGAGGATGAAATGCCCTTTAAAACGAGCGTTCGAACAAGTCGATAGCTCAATTAGTTCCGGAGATATAGCGATTTTAGTTTCGCGTCGATGCGGTGGCTAATTGTGGAGATACGAGGATCGGAAGCGTTTGTTTACGTTCATTGAGATCCATGAACTCGCGCGCGTGGCACTAGTAAACAGAGCGCAGTAAATTCTTGGAAATACTACGCCGAAACTAGGTCACGACAGTCACGACTCACGTGCGACAAAGAGGTACGACGCGTCAAACGGAGACAATTATAGTAAAATTAAGAAAAATACCCTTTTACATAAATTACGATATCTCGAAAACGGAAAGTCCGATCGACAAAAACCAAAAACCATTTCAAAGAGGAAGCTTTACCGCTTCTAACAGTGGCTCAATTATAAATAAAACACTAGTAATTTCGGAACTGCACGCGTCTAAAGTTTAACTATTTTCAATACACGTTATTAGACTGTTATAAGATAGTGGAAACTGAAGATTCTCTCCTTTCGTCTTTGTTATACATATATTTCCTGTTTACATCGGAAGCTAACCAGAATTTGATACCAAATTTTGTCCAGTTCAAATATAAACCATTACTGCTACATATTTTTCTCAGAAAACAAGCAATAAGAATAGATGTGAATATTGTAAAAATCATGAAGTTAAATGGCGCCAAAATAATATTGTGTGTTAGAAATTCTAAACGAAATTTTAAAAACGGTCATTTGACCGGTCGCGGTAGATTTAGTGTTGATTGAGGAAGGCTTAAAAACATTCTTCTTATACACTTTGTTCGGTAAACGAAATACGCACATTCCGCTGGCCAACTCGAGTTGTTTTCGGTCCTTTATGATGCCAGACACGGGATCGGTACTACGTTGCGAAGATCTTCGAGTCTCCTGCATCTGGCAAATTTCAGTGTAAAAGAAAAAAATTTTGGTAAATGAAAAAAACGCTACACTCGAGTTGGCCAGCGAAGGGCTATATTATTCCGCGGGTGGTACGGTCGTCGAGGCCAAATGTAGGCACCGACGACAACGGCCATCGCCTACACGCGGAACAATATAGCCATAAAACAGCTGCGAACCAGACGCAACCTCTTGTTGCGTTGATAATCCGGAGTTCCGTTTCTTCCTCGGCAAATTAACGCGGCCTTCGACTTGGGGAGGAAACCTCGTCCACCCTAGCCAAGGTGGCCTGAGATTTTCCTCCACCACCGAGGTGAAGGAGGAGGTTCCTACCGAAATGGGGCAGGAAAATGGGTCCTCCTCTCCCAAGTCGATGGCCAATCAATACAGTCTGGATTCCACAGATGAATTTGAAAACCACCCCCAAACTACCTCTTGGTGGGCACCTAAGCTGAGGAGGAATTTGACTCCGGACACGACAATCACTCTTAGTTTGCCTTTTGAGAGAACAACTATCTTAGACACTCTCACTCTTAACTTGTCTTTTGATCGAACAACTCTTAATTTGTCCTTTAAGAGAACAGTTCCTCATATAGTTCATCGCGCTCAATAACACATTTATACAG